TCCTCCGTGGCCGAGGTTTATACGCCGGGTTTCATGGTGTCGCCGACTCGAGGTCCCTGGTTTAAATCCCGGTGGAAGCAGATGTTTGTGTGATGAATACGAGCATTTGTACTCCAGTCATGGAAGTTTAATATGTATTTTCTATAAAAAAAATATACTTATATATGTACCGTATATGTATTCTATCCGTTACCCTAGTGTTCCATAACACAAGCCTTATAGTGCTTACTTTGGGGCTAGGCTAATTGGTGTGAGTGTTGGAAATATTTATTTATTATTTAATGTTTCTAAGAGTGTTTGGCACGGAATGTATCGAGCTGGTTTTTTCAATAAGCTTCTGTGAGATGCGTAACACTACAGTAATGTTGTCACGTCCACTTGACCGGTGTAGCGTATATTTTAAAGATTCCACTAATTCTTTAGTTGAGAAGACGGTTGTAACACAAAATCACACCAATTTTATTTCACAATATCTAATATATATAAGTTTTGTTCTGCACTCCGATCATCGTTTAAGGACTGAAAGTGACACGCAGTCACAGCTATAAAATAGGAGTAGAATAGTTTTCCGCGCAAAATTGTATGAACCCATGACACCATGTCAGTTATGCCAGCGTACACCAGATTAAATTCTAGGTTATTATTCATGCTATTAATTAGTGCGCAAATATGCGTAAGTAGAGCCTAATTAGTGCAAAAATAAAAAAAAACATCCTCTTTAGGAAATAATGACTGTTTTCATGCTGTACGCTGGCGTGACGATCAAGTTAACTTACACCAAGCCATTCTTGAAAACGGTTTATTGTTATGCAACCAAATTTTCACAGAAATTAGTGTTCTAACCAAAAATATAGCCTCACTTGAGGCGTGAGAACTTATTTTAAATTAGTTCGGTTAAATACAGAACGAAGTAACTCGCTGGATTTTATTTTGTAGATGATAAGGTTGATTTTACATTTTCCTTTTCACCTTTATCGTAGTTTTCCAAGTATCAGATACAATTTATAAAAGGAAAAAGAGTTCGTTTTATACGATAAAAGGTCATATGTGCGAAATAACATTTTATTTGGAACCTTATTCCTTTGTGAGAAAATAGTTTAAGTTGAACCAACCTAAACTCTTTTTAAACATGTATCTTTGTTCATTGGGAATTGAATATAGCTGCATTAGTGTTTAAACATACGCGGACAGTTTTTAGATTTGATTTTGTATGCAATCCGTTATCTATAGAATTGTTGATTGAAGGTAGCTCATAGAGGTACAAAGATATAGAACAAGACTTTGGCGTCATGGTAGCGTACACAATTCAAACAATGTGCGTTTTGGACTAATAATTTATTTATTGTTAGAATCGGGAGTGTAATATATCAATTATTATTGAATCAAATTTTATTAGCAGCATAACATTGCGAGCACAGATCAAAGCATTTGCTTGTGATACGAGGTTTTTCATAACTTGGCATGTGATTAGTTAATGGTGTCGATTCTGACAGGGTTCTTTAAACCTAAACTTCAATTTGACAACAGTTGTATCCTTGTCAGTCTCTAAACAGATTGCAAATCAATCATCAATCAATCAAAATCATTTATTCAGTTTAGGCTGTTACAAGCACATATGAATGTCTAGAAGCTACGCCACCAAAGGAGAGACTGATGTTAAATTTATTTGTAAGTTAAGAGAATCTTGCCAGAATCGACATCAATAAATATATAATTCAATTCTGGCGTGATTCTCTAAAGCTAAACTTAAATTTGAGAACCGTGTATCCTTGTCATTCTCTACACAGAATGAAAAGGAGAGACTGATGTTAAATTTAGGTTTAAGTTCAAAGAATCATGCCAGAATTGACACCACTGGTGTCGATTCTAGTATGATTCTCATAACCTACACTTAAATTTGACAGCAGTATATCCTTGTCATTCTCTATACAGAATGAAAAGGAGAGACTGATGTTAAGTTTAGTCTTACGAAAATTCCTTCCTTGAACTTAGTTTCTCTCAATGCAAAAATAAATTTTCAGGAAAACTTTTTCCATTACTTTTATTTATTATTTTATAGTAACAACGTAGGTCGTTCTCGATTGAAATTTGAATGAAACTCCCTACAAATAACTGATGAGATCAGGGTAATTTGAACATTACAATAAACAAAAAGACTTCGTAATTAATAACCCTTTGAAAATAAATAGTAATAGCATGTGGTCGTAACAATAGTACGGACTATGGCAATATTAAACGACAATTAACCAACAATTTGGAGTTTAAAATTTACAAGTACAAGGCTTACAAATATCGATATTGTTGATAACTTCTTGGAAGGGTAGAAGGGTGGAAGGGTAAACCGCTTCGTTACGTAACGCGTTACTGCGCCAGTCTGTCCGGCTTCCCTTCCACGCATACGGCAGCGGTAGGCAGACTCCTCATCTCTCACTCTAACCCGCATCGTCCCGCTTAGATTAGTCCCGAGACGCTCACGCTTTTTTTAGTAAGATTAGTTGCAATACTCTAAATTTTACATACTTTCAAAAATAAAGCCAAATATCTTAAATGTACAAAAATGCCTAAAATACTTAATTTACATATACATATTACAATCTAAGTAAGTACTATCGCGGAATTTTGCGCTCTGTCACTTGGCGAACAAAATGCTTTGAACGGTTTTCTACAGCTGTTTTTACTACGCCCCGCCTTCGCGTCGGACGCGCCAATCCAGGCCGCCGCACAAAAGTAAGACAAAGAGCATTTCATTGATTGAATAATGAATTCAATTGCATTTGTTTTAGTTGCAATTTGTCATCCGCATCGTGATCGCGACAGCGCTATTCGAAAAAGTAAGACAGCTATAATTACATGTCTATGAATGAATTTTTACTACGCCGCTACCGCAAGCGATTATGGCATTATGGGTGACAGAGCGGGTCTTTCCGCGAGTGTACCTACAATCGATAAGATCTCAGATCAATAAAATAATCAGATTTTTTTTTAGCAGAGACAAACAGGTGCCGTATTCTGAACGGTTAACGCCAGGCAAAGGGTATGGGTACGGGTACGGCCAGAGTGCACTCAGATTCAGATTCAGACTCAGAAAACAAGCGCGAGAAATAGTAGTCTAAACAGGTTGCCTGCTGCCACTATGGCCACCCTGCTTTAACTACACTGTTTATTTCTCGCGCTTGTTTTCGGAGTCTGAATCTGAATCTGAGTGCACTCTGGCCGTACTCAAAGTGGCATGCTGCTCTACTGTACGTATGTGATGTCTCGCTCGAACAATGGAACTTGCCTGGCGTTAAGAGTTGATAATTCGGCTCCAGGTTACAAGTCCATAAAGCAATAAACACATACATAAAAATCAAATCTGGCGATAGCAAACAATTGGTAGTTTTATCAGGAAATTATGGAGTGACTATGTTGACAGACGTTTTAATCATTTTCATAAACTCTTCAACAGATATCTGCAAAAAGAGAAGTGCAAAAATTTATAGATTTTAAATGATTAGAAATTTTGTATAATTTCATGTAGGCAGGTAAACAAAACTTTTATAAGAAATAACAAAGTTTTATATTGCGCACAAGCACTAAGCACTTTTGCTTATGGCACAAGCCAGCATGTGGCTTACTCAAGAAGCTTATACTCAAGAGCTTATACTCTTGGGTATAAGCTTCTGGGGCTTGCCCATATACATAGTACCAAGTACGAGAGCCCATGATATATAAAATATGGCTCCATGATAATATATGTAATTACTAATGTTATGTATTTAGACGCGTAATTAATAGGAGAAAAATAAATGAAGATGTTGTAATGCTATGCTAAACTTGGAGCAATGATAAAAAATAAATTTCAATAATCGGTCAAGTGCAAGTCGAACTCATGCACGAACGGTTCCGTACAATAGACCGCGAAAGGAAAAATCTTTGTTTGTGTTCGTCACAACTCACAAGGTGCTTAATTAGCGTTTTCAGTATTTGTTGTTTGAAATAAAGCATATGGACATCATATATCAAAACTTCACATAGAAATGTGAACTGTTTGAGTTTTTAAACAAAAATAGTCTAAAAATTTCAACTTTGTTATTGAAAATAATAAATAAATAAATAAATATTTTTATCCTGCCCTACGAGCTCTAGATCAATGATAAATCACATGATGGGCATTTGTGCTAAAGAAACTTAGTCTTATGTTGGAGTGTCTACTAGCCTAGCCCTCGAAAGTCAAGCTGTAAAGTAATAGGCAAGTTCAGAAATAAATCTGAGATGATGATAAGATAGAAACAGGGATAACAGTCTGTCGATAATGTCAGGAAAAAAAGGAGGTCGCTACCGTCGCCGTCGCTTACTTGGTAACCCCGTTATACATCGACCATGAAGTATATGGTAGTTGTATAAATATAATAGTACTTTTTAACAAATATCAAAGCATCTTTGATTCCTTTCATTCTGAATAGAGAATGACAAGGATACACTGTTTTTTGCCGAATTTAAGTTTAGGTTTACAGAGGTGTCGATTCTGGCATGATTCTCTAAACCTATATCGAAATTTGACAACAGTGTATCCCTGTCATTCTTGAATAAAAAAGAGAGTTCGGTATTAAATATAATTTTAATTTAGAGAATCATGCCAGTATCGCCTCCACAATCATGCCAGAATCGACACTATTCATTTATAATAATAATGTTATACGCCCCGGCAAACTTTTTCAGCATCGACCATAGATAAGGTAGCCTGTGCAGAAGCAATTTTACATACAAAAATGTCTACTGCACACATAGAGGTATAAGAATAGAGTGGGGAAGACGACTCTAAAAGTGTCCGTCTAGTAGAAAGAGAAAGAAGATGAGAGACCGCTAGCTATCTCTCTCTTGTGACGCATGGCATCTAATGGCATCACATCGAAATAGTAAGATGCTTACGTTTGCGATTAGCGAGAAAAAGCTAGCGGTCTCTCATCTTCTTTCTCTTTCTATTAGAGGGATACTTCCGCTTGTAGTCAAGTCTATATCCGCCCTACTCTATTCTTATACCTGTATGACCTCACAAGCGATTGAGTTTAATTTGACATTCGACAAATATTGATATTGCTCAAAAAGTTTGCCGCTACCTATAACACACTGTATATTTACGCACAAAGCCATCAAAATCCTTATCTGCATCGTCGATCATTTCCTCAATTTCTTCATCAGTTAGGCAATTACCCAATATCTGGGTAACACGTTTCACATTTTCAAAAGATATGAATCCTGAAAAAAAAATCATTTTAAGCAGTTAATGGTATCGATTCTGGCATGATTTTCTAAACTTGAAACTAAATTTAACATCAGTCTCTCTTTTTCATTCTTTTTTCAAATTACTATTTGCAAATTAAACTATACTATTATAGTATTTCCACTAATATTTTAAATATGAAATTTTATTTATTTGATTATTCAATCATTCAAAAACGTCAGAACAGATATGCATGAAATTTGGCAAACATAATTTATTACCTTGATTGTGGGGCATAGGATACTGTTTTTCTCGGAAAATGTTAGGGGCCTATGGTGGCCGCTATGCCATTCCTAAAAACTAAAGTTAATGCGGACGATACGGGCTGAGGGGTTGTAGGCATTGGCATTCACAGCTTTCCCCTCTGTCGCATTAGGCATACAATATGTGTGCATGTGTCGTAATTACAGTTTTATGCTGCACAACAAAAAAACAAAACTGCATTTGCATATTCCACCCACCAAAAATGGGAGAATGTTTCGAAGGCCGTATACAGATAGAAAGCTGGTAGCCTACCAGCGCTTATAGGAACCGGTTCGCTAAAAGTAACCGGCGCGCGGCGCAGTGTGCGTAGCTCCATAGTGCCGGCGACTTTCGGCACTTATGCCGAAAGTCGCCGACAAGGGCCGACAATCTTCGAAACGCGCTGGTCAGCGCTGGCACCACCCTTTGAAATTAATGAGCAACTAAGCTTCAATTTGCTTCTTTTATCTGTTACCAGTAAGGACCAGTGCTGAGAAGCGCTGGTCGGCTTCCAGCTTTCTATCTGTATACGGCCGAAAAGCATTATGTCACTCTGACTACTACCTCCGGCGTTGCCCTATTGCTGAATATAAAATTTTACCACTATCATCCATGTCGAATAATCTGAAACTCTTCATAATGTCTCCGTCGCTGTCTAATGACATAATTTTCCTCATGATAGCGGTTTCGAAATTCTCGAAGCTCAGTTTACCAGTGTCGCCTTTGTCGACACCCTGAATCATTTTCTGCAGCTCCTCTTTAGTAGGCTCGTAACCTGTCCACATTAGAGAAAATAAGGAAATTTATAGTGGAGTTTCATTTTCTTGACTATTAATATTGCAATAATAGCAGAAAGTAAGAAATGAAATGAAATCATCATCATCATCATCAGCCTCTTAATGTCCCCACTGCTGGGGCACAGGCCTTCCCTTTGGATGGAATAGGGAGATTGGGCCATGACCCACCACGCGGGCCCAGTGCGGATTGGTGGGTGCTAACGACTGCAGATGCAACCGGGACCAACGGCTTAACGTGCCTTCCGAAGAACTCGAGATAGAAATTTTTGGTCACCCATCCAATGACCGACTACTGCGAAAGTTGCTTAACTACAACGATCGCAGCCGAACGCGCTAACCACTTGCGCCATCGAGCTCCAAGAATGAAATCATACTTTATTCAAATTGACTTATTGAACACTCTTTTGAATCGTCCAATAATTTTTCCTAACGTTTTTGAGTGGGTAGTCAGGACTTCTTTTAGCTGATGAGAAGAATGGGCGCAAGAAACACATCGGCATTTAACAGAAGTAGCAACATTTACAAAAAAATCATGTCGCTACCAATACAACGTCCACTCACATTTTTATGGCTGTGTTATATAGTATTAATACAAACAGTTTCCAAATTTGATTTAATAGATAGCATCTCAAGAGTAACGCAGTATAGAGCAGACCGTTCACGAGCATGACGCATGAACCAGCCTTCGCTTCGCTCAACCATAAGTTAGTTAGGGAACGTAACGACCCGCCTCACACGGCAAACACGATAAGAGTAAGAAAGTACAGTTTAATCATTAATCTTTCGTAGTTAAGCCGCCATTAGTGATTTTTTGGCGCGGATCCGTGTTCCGGTACATCAAAGGCAGTTAGTACTTTTGCTGTTCATTAAGAAAAAACTTACCTAGCGCTTTAATAGCGACACGAAAATCTTCAGCCTTAATTTTCCCTTCTCCAGTGTAGTCTAGCAGGTTGAAGGCTTTGCGCAAATCGCTTTTCTATAAAAAAATATTAATAAAACATATATTTTGTAAGCAAGTTATTGATTTGTTCGTAAAAAATTACAAGAAGGTATTGTTACTAACTACGACATATTATTAGGATTTCCTTTTGTTGTAAAAGGGGTAAAAAGTAGCATGGGTCTGATGCTAAGTGCGTCATAATGCCGCCATACTACCATATGCGCATTTCTGGAACCCTTACTCACAGCAATACGACATCATAAAAAGGTAGTGTTATTTGATGCTAGGGAGCTACATTAACGGGAAATGCCGATAATTAGCAAAATTCAAAAAATTCAAAATTCAATATCGTTTATTCAGTCTAGGCTGTTACAAGCACTTGTGAATGTCGAAAAGCTACGCCATCGGTTCGCAAATCTACGGCGGGAGACCTTGTACTGAGAAGAACCGGCAAGAAACTCAGCAAGGGCTGTTTTTTTCTCCCTGTATTATATACAGAGTCGTCAAATTGAAAAATGACTTCAATATGAGGTAACTCATAAAGTCACTTTTCATTACAAACAAAAAAAAAAATGCAAATAATATAAAAATTATGACTATAAAATAAAAAATAAAAATATGTAAATAAAATGGTTTAACAAAGTTTAGGAATGTTTAGGAATGACGTGTCCTACCGTTTAGGCAAAAAAAAAATAATAATAATGAACGATTAAAGTTTAGAGCAACGATTAATAGTACCCAGTGAATTAAGAGCAGACTCATCTCCGCTGGCAGCACCCGTTCACGAGCATGACGCATGAACCAGCCATCGCTTCGCTCAACCATTTTTTAGGGAACGCAACGACCCGCCTCACACGACACCACCGAAGAGATTTTTAAGAGAGCATGACTACTCATAACCACACATGGATACTATGTTACTAAAATAGAAAAAAAATGGTTGCCTGTAAAGTCGGTTTTACGGGCGAAGATTTTACGTGACAACGTCTTTTTCTCGGTAGAATATTTATTGATATGAATATAATTAAATTGCACAATAGGAACAAGGAATTGAATGAAAATAAGAATTGCACAAATTTTAACTATAGAAACATATTTTGTTTACTAAAACATTGTACATGTAAACTTAAACTTAACACGAGAGACTCATCGTAACGTTACCGAGCGTTACACTTTTTCATAAGTGACTCCCAGCCGCAACCTAATTTAAGACGTTGTCACGTCAAAAATATACATATAGGTACCAGTGTACATTATTATAACAAACTATAAACACAACGGCAGGACACATGCATGTGATTACCTAAACACTGTTGTCGACTCTGGCAATACTCTCCCAACCCAAAACCAAATCCAACATCAGTCTCCCCTTTTCAGTCTGTATAGAGAATGACAAGGATACACCGCTGCAAAACCAAGTTCAGGTCTAGAAAAACATACCAGAATCCACACCGCCATTAAATCTTTATCAGAGATATAATATATGTTCACTTACATTTTGATTGCTGTGTCATACAGTATAAATACAATTTGTGTAATGTAAAATACAATCAAAATTTAATAATAATTATCATTACAATAATAAAGTAGTATAGAGCAGACTCATCTCCGCTGGCAGCACCCGTTCACGAGCATGACGCATGAACCAGCCATCGCTTCGCTCAACCATATTTTAGGGAACGCAACGACCCGCCTCACACGACACCGCCGAAGAGATTTTTAAGAGAGCATGACTACCCATAACCACTAAAACCAATCTGCAAAATGGTTACTTAGAGTTCAGGTAATTTATCTGTACGACACTGCAAACAAATACAAAACAATTTTGCAGTTACAGCCATGCAGTTTTGTCATTCAAGTATTCTTTAATAGTATAATAGCCTTTCTTAACTAAACAACTTTTAATGTGAAATTTGAACTCATTTATGGGTAACTCAAGAACAGCATCAGGAATTTTATTGTAAAAATGTATACCTTGACCCATAAAAGATCGGTAAAGCTTCTGTAACCTGTAGGCTGGCAATGCAAGCTTGTTTCTATTCCTAGTATTAAAATTGTGTACGTTACTGTGTTTGGTATACAAATTGATATTATTTTTAACTAGGAGTATGCAATTGTAAATGAATTGAGAAGCAACAGTCAAAATTCCAATTTCTTTAAATTTTTCTCTAAGAGATGTTCGGCTACTCAATTGATAAATAGATCTCACAGCTCTTTTTTGTAAAATGAAAATACTTTCAATATCAGCTGCTGTTCCCCAGAGTAAAATGCCGTATGATAAGATACTATGAAAGTAACTAAAATATACAGTCCTAGCAGTATGAGCACGATGACGGACGTTAAATGTACAGTATGCGCGCGATCTCAATATAGTCGAGGTATGAGGATGGGGGGCCTCCACTCCCTCCGGCACCTTGCACGCCGGCAGTGAAATCTACATACAAAGTGCACTTGTGCAACGCACACGGTAACACCGCTCAGGAACACGATACCTTGGACCAGTTGGGACCAGTCCGAGCTCTTATTCCATCTGCTTGAGACACGGGTTGTGCAAAAAATAATATCTGTTTAAATTTTTCCGTTCTGTTTCATTCTCGGCAATGAACTAAAAAACAACAATATACGCGTGCTACTACCATGTTAAGTAGTTTTTTGTGCATAAGCCAAAGTTGGCAATCGTAGCGTGACCGCTGAGCGTAGTTTAAGAAAAGTGAACTACGCACCAGAGATTACCTTCTGTACTCCGGTATTATTATCTGGTATTTTCTGGTATTAACCATAGAGAAACTTGAATATAGGGTAGTATTTACCCGAGCTGTAATTTAAAGCAGCTAGCTATTCCTGAAAGCTGCACTCAGTAGGCCTATTCGCTAACTGCGTTTGACAGATGCAAGTGATAATCACCGAGCTATTTAGTAATCCACTAGCATCGATGGACATGTAATTTTCTCTTTACTTACATATTGGTATCGAATCTGGCATGATTCTCTAAACCTAAACTTAAATTTGACAACAATTGTATCCCTGTCATTCTCTATACAGATTGTGAAGGCGAAACTGATGTTAAATTTAGTTTTTAGTTTAGAGAATCATGTCAGAATCGACACCACTGTAAATGTCAAAGAAGTTGGCGAATAGGCCGGCAGATCGCGCGCGTATTGTAGCTTAAACGTACATCACCGCGATAATTAGTGGCATTTCCCGTTAATATGACCCCAACATCACAGTAGTCTATAGCAACGTGGATGTCCCTTCCCTAATTCAAGCGAATATTCCCGTATCTTACTTCTATCGAAATCTTAACTCATATTTTTTTGGAAATCACCTGTTCTTCAGTAAGAGTTAATCGCGCTGGTAGCTCATTATATACAGCAGATTTTTGAAGTTCCTCTATTATTTCTTTGTCAGAAAATTCAGCGGTACCAGATAAATCCGTGACGTCCATTGCAAGGCAAAATTAAGATATCTAGTAGGCTTATTTTATGTACCTATATATCGATCAAGCAACCGTTTCACTTCTATGACTACGTAAAAGTTACCTTACATGCACCATAGAATATACCATTTTAGAATAAGTCCATGCCTCCATTAGGAAATAAAAATGTTATTAATGAATTATTATTAACTGCCAAGACAATATATTTTTATAGCTAGGTAGAAAAATGACTCTACTCCACACATCGAATTATATTTGACCCCACCTGATGTTAAGTGGGGATAAAGTCCAGATGCGAAAAACACGGATACAATACACAATACAGAGAGTGGGAAGCTTGCTATCCCTGCGTCGGTGACGGTACGACTTTACGCCAGGCCGGTGCAGGTAAAAACGAGCCATACGTTTTCATATATTTCTGCTTCTTCGGCACCGGCCCGGTGCCGGACCGGGTGAGATAGAAAACGCCCATTGGACAACGACCGGTGAATTTGTCTATCATCGAAGGGCGATTGTGTGCCGCGGCGGCCCGGTATGGCCAACACGCATATGGCCCGCCGGATAGACGCTTGCGATACAAAAATATCATTACCTATCCTGATCCAATCCCCTACCCTGTGTAGCCCTAGAACCTCACACGCCAATAGAAATACAACACCACCAGAAGGCAGTGTTCTTTTACTGTAGTAACGTGAAAGTTCCTTCGCCAGACGGGCGATCCAATTTGAGCGGGGAATCCGCTATCTTACCTCTCTTAAAGGTGTGCGTTAAAGTACAAGAGTTCCATAATGTCCGTTATAATGAAATGCATGTAAGATGTGGTGTATACTTAAGTACTAGTCTTGGACATACTTGCGCAGTTGTAAGAACTAGTCTTGGACATACAGTCAATTCTTTTTCTTCTGGTTCTGCTTCGGCATCAACCTCGACTTCACTCAAACTTTCTTCAGCGTTCATGGTTAGTATAAAATTTTTAGTAAATTATTTTATAGAACTTGACGTAAAGCAAATTTGAAAGGGAATGTCAATGTTTACCAGCTTGACGGGAGCTCGGAGGTCATTAACATTCTTCTTTTTCTCTAAACATGTCGAAGGTTTATTAAAGGTATGATTGAGAACGTATTTTCAATGTTTTCGCCATGGACGAGGGATTTCGCTAGTTCTCGCAGTCTTTTTATTGGTACTATTCTTTATTGATGTACTAGCGCAAAACAGCCGATGCAGCTAGGAGGGGAGTAGCCATATACTACTGAAATCATCTGCCGCCTTTTGCGGGGGGAGGAATATGCACACAAATGCAATCCATTATACTTTCGCAAAAAAAAGGAAATTGTAATAATAACGACACTGATGTCGATTCTGGCATGATTCTCTAAAGCTAAACTTAAATTTGACAACAGTGCATCCCTGTCATTCTCTATACAGAATGAAAACGAGAAACTGATGTTAAATTTAGTTTTTAAGTTTAGAGAACCACGCCAGAATCGACACCACTCACATACATTATTTGACAGCGCAAAATTGGGCATGAATGAAACTTAAGATTTTTTATTGACTCTGTGTACTGGCGAATCGATTGTTTTATCAAACAAGTCCGACGTTTGAATTTTATCAAAATAATATAATTTCTTAGGTTTTCACGCACACCTCTCAGTAAATAAAACAAGTTTCAATGGTATAGATGCACTGATTTATTTATTTATGGCGTTTCGAATCCTATTTAGACTGCGTCGTCAGAATTTCCTCATCATATAAGTTGTGTATCTATAACGTTGAAACTTGTTTTATTTCAAATAACATGAATTTTGTGTTTTAAATTGGATAAATAGAAATCTTAAGTTAATAATTCAACTTAAATGTGAAGAAACCGACAGAATGCGACCGTTGTGAATGGTGCCAATTCTGGCGTGATTCTCTAAACTTAAAACTAAATTTAACATCAGTCTCTCCTATTCATTCGGTATAGATAATGACAAGGATATACTACTGTCAAATTTAAGTTTAGGTTTAGAGAATCATCCTAGAATCGACACCAATGCCTCCTCCCCCTCTCCTGGCCGTCGCATCGACCGCATAGCTCTATCTATACAGGTGTCGATTCTGGTGTGATTCTCTAAACTTAAAACTAATTTTAACATCAGTCTCTCCTTTTTATTCTATATAGAGAATGACAAGGATACACTGTTGTCAAATTTAAGTTTAGGTTTAGAGAATCATGCTAGAATCGACACCAATATACATATATAACGCATATGGTCATGTACTTTGGCGGAGGGGTTGGCCCGCCCATGCCATCTCCATTGGTTTATGCTCTAAATGTGAGTAATACTTTATGTTGTACATCTGTAAAACTACAGATGTACAATATAAAGTATTACTTGTCATTCTCTATACAGAATAAAAAGGACAGACTCTAGAACTTTCTAGAGTAGAATCTATAAACAAATTTATTTTACAGGAATATACTTTTGTAAACATTGCAATGGCGTCGATTCTGGCAGGATTCACTAGACTTAAAACTAAATTTAACATCAGTCTGTCCTTTTTATTCTGTATAGAGAATGACAAGGATACATTGGTGTCGATTCTAGCATGATTCTCTAAACCTAAACTTAAATTTGACAGCAGTATATCCTTGTCATTCTCTATACAGAATGAAAAGGAGAGACTGATGTTAAATTTAGTTTTAAGTTTAGAGAATCACGCCAGAATTGGTACCACTGTTGTCAAATTTAAGTTTAGCTTTAGAGAATCACGCCAGAATTGACACCAATGGCTTGATATGAGTATTTATTTTTCAACACTGAACTTAGCGCACTCTGCTGGTGCATTTGAAAACTTAATCACGTTCCAATTAAGCATCAGCATAATTCGGCACTGGTGTCGATTCTGACATGATTCTCTAAACCTAAACTTAAATTTGACAGTAGTATATCCTTGTCATTATCTATACCGAATGAATAGGAGAGACTGATGTTAAATTTAGTTTTAAGTTTAGAGAATCACGCCAGAATTGGCATCATTGTGCACCACTGAGTCTCATTATGCTCTGTAATAGGAAAACTACCATAAGTTCCTTCTTTTAAGCTTAGGGTGCGGCCAGAGTGCACTCAGATTCAGATTCAGATTCCGAAAACAAGCGCGAGAAATAAACAGTGTAGTCGAAGGGTACGGCCAGAGTGCACTCCTGATTCAGATTCAGAAAACAAAGCGCGAGAAAAAGCAGGCAGGAATGCACTCTGGCCGCACCCTTTGCCCTTTCTTCACAGATTAGGTGAGTAGGTAAAGTATCCGCCTAATCTGTGCCCTAAGAAGGGATGCGACTTTGAGGACGAAAAATCGATTTTTAAATTACCGATTATTTTTTAAAATCCCTAGCCAGCCCTAAGCAAGCTAGCCGCCATATTTTGTTTTGCTGTTGTATTTTCCGAGTTTGAGGTTATTCTAAACGTGAAGAAGCCGCTATTGTTTTTGAATATTCCATTAATCTAACAAATAATCATGAAGCTAGTTAGGTTTTTAATGAAACTCAGCCACGAAACTGTCACAATTGAGTTGAAAAACGGAAGTGTCGTTCACGGCACCATCACCGGCGTCGATGTAGCAATGAACACCCATTTGAAAGCTGTGAAAGTTACGTTGAAAAACAGAGAGGAGCTTCAGTTGGAGACGTTAAGTATACGTGGGAATAATATCCGCTATTTCCTACTACCGGACAGTTTGCCATTGGAGACACTGTTGATCGACGACGCACCCAAAGGTAGAGGGAAACGTGAAGGTTTTCCAAGAGGCGGAGCGAGAGGTGGTCGCGGCAGGGGCCGTGGTGGCCGTGGAGGCCCGAGAGGAGGCCGTGGGGGACGCGGCCGTGGCCGACGTTAAAGTTTTCATAGTCAATAAGTTAAATTCCATAAGTTTCGTGATTACACTAAGTCTTAAGAGGTTATGCTGTTTTATTTGGCGGTTAACGCTTATTAAAACCAAAGTCTGAAATAAATCGTGTAAAACTAATTGCGAAATTACGATTTCAAACCAAATCTGGTGTCATAATATATGAAATGTAAATATCATTACAACTGTCTTATGATTGTTGATTCAACCAGCGATTCTCTAGTAAAAAGTAACACGCACAGAACTCGCTATGTTTTACAGCATTTTAATAAAAAACTAGTACAATAGTAAGGCTATAGAAAAACTGAAGTTTTGATGTATTCTATAAGGGCAATTGGGCATAACAACAACACAACTAAATGGAATTAACGCCTCTCCTAAACTCAAAGGAAAATGTGTATTTTGCTGGAATTACATTGCATACTTTGCATTTTACCAAAATGAATATAAAAATTTGATTAGGTGAAAGTTATAAGTAGAAGTAAACTTCTGAAGCAAAACTACAGACAATTTAACTTGCACTGTAGATGTTTTATGTGTAAAATTTCGCAGGCTTACTATGGTCGATGCTCAAGAAATTTGCCCAGGTGTATACTTAGATATTTAATAAAATACCTTTAGTTGCATACCATTACTGGCATGCAAATAATGAATTACCTTACTGCAAATGTAATAAAACAATTGGAACAGGTTTCTAAGTGCTATATTAAATTTTTTATATAGTTTCAGGCCTTTTAATGTTCTATGGAACCCTAAGAGAAGTGAAAATTAACAAGATTTATTCTTCAATCCCATTCAGCATTTGAATTTATGATTACATTGTATTACTGTAACAGTAAAGATCTTGACTTGTGATAAAATTAGAAAATTTGGTGACTGTATGTTAACTCAGATTAATAAATAAGTTTGTATTGATAACAAATGATTTTATGATTTGGCTAATTTATTAATTTATACCTCTTCATTTTTGTAGTTTTTTAGGGTTCTGTACCCAAAGGGTTAAAATGGGACCTTGTTACTAAGACTCTGCTTTCCATGTGTCTGTCACCAGGCTGATTTTCACAGACATTTCAGTTACTGCTAGAAAAACAAATACTAGTAAGTAATAACAATGAAATAAATATTTAAAGGGGGCAGTCATACAATAAACATGTTTTTTTTGCTGTTTTTGTTCTATATTAGTAATGGCAACAGGCAGACACTTGAAATATACACAGTTGTATACATATTCATATTTTTTTATTATTCACTTTCAAAATAAATAATCAAATTTAAAATATTTATGGGGGAATCCCATTCACCATAAGTCAATTTTAATTTTTATTTACTATATATAACAATAAAGTGTAATGTTGTATAGATAATAGTATGCAACCCTTTGTGTGCAAATCTGACTTGCATTTGGCCAGTTTTTTATCTAGATTACTTTTGAGGCTTCTATCACTAGGAGTGGCATATATTCTGGTATAGCATGGTATATCCTTTAGTCCTGAGTTCTTAAAAAAGCATTGGGTCCGTCTGCAGTTCAGGATAAGAAGAAAAATCTGTGCAACATCTGGTTTTCTATTACATTAGGGACCCCATCCTCTCCCGAGTAAGTATATAACATAATGGTAAATTGAGGTCAGAAATATAGTAGTTTGTTTACTAAGGGAGCAAAGAACTATATTAAAGGCGAGAAGATTTTTTGAATCTAGAATGGAGTAAAAGATTCTAGATTGTTGTATACTCCTTAGGACAGCGAGGGATTCAAAATATGTCGCTTAAGTTGTAAAGGACATTGACGAAATCGGCCCTAGCATGCCCAAAAGAATGTCCTTCACTATTATTTTTTTAACTTATTAGCAGTTAATCATAGTAAACGCTCAGACCAGTTAACGGACAATCTGTATAAAAAAATAAAAGTTCTGTTACTAGATACTACAGTCTGTTCATTCAACTTGTCCTATTTGGTACACAATCTTGGCACTCCTTTTTATTGAAAATACAGCATTAAAAATCAACTGATAACTAGATTCTAGAATAGGTTCAATCCGAGATTGCGGGCTCAGGCTGGGCGTACCGTCGGTATCCCTGATGGTAATATCACATCAGGCTACCTGTAGGCGATAGAGCTGCCAGATATAGTTTCTCAGATTTCCAACTAGCCGTACACCCGCAAGGTGATTGTTCGGGGTCGGACGCCCTACACTAACAAAAATTAGAACTTTAAAGTACAATATTTCGCAAACGGATCCCTAAATAGAAAAGTAGTCTTACGAACTAAGTAATTTTAAAAGACCTATTCAACGACACTCCACACGACGGGGTAGATCAGGGGTGCTCAAACTTGAACTGCTGGCGATCTACCTCAAAATTTTTAGACTACTTACGATCGACTCTGAGAGGCTGCAAGTGTGTGTGATGAAGAGTGTACCGAAGCATATATAGATATTCGTAGGTCGATTGCGATCGACCGTTTGAGCACCCCTGGGGTAGACGATGATAAAATAAAATCATCTCCAGGTTACATGTACGGGTGCTACCTTAAACAAAAAATATTATAGTTATGATTTTATTTATTTTTTAAGCATTTAACTGCTAGATGTTTAAATCTAAAGAAAAGTTTACTAGAAAAAAATCCACGCGGACCAGGCAGCGGACGGGACTCGAACCCGCATCCTTCGCTATCCGGGCGAATGCACTGACCATTATGCTACCACGGCCCTATTAGCCGCGTCGAAATTTTCCTAGCCTTACGCTGCAAGGCAGCGCCATTTCTTCGCATTGTAGGTAACCCACAATGTCAAATGAATACTTTTTCAAGTATTAAACATTTGAAAGAAGAAATAGCAATTATAGTTATGATTTTATTTATTTTTTAAGCATTTAACTGCTAGATGTTTAAATCTAAAGAAAAGTTTACTAGAAAAAAATCCACGCGGACCAGGCAGCGGACGGGACTCGAACCCGCATCCTTCGCTATCCGGGCGAATGCACTGACCATTATGCTACCACGGCCCTATTAGCCGCGTCGAAATTTTCCTAGCCTTAAGCTGCAAGGCAGCGCCATTTCTTCGCATTGTAGGTAACCCACAATGTCAAATGAATACTTTTTCAAGTATTAAGCATTTGAAAGAAGAAATAGCAATTATAGTTATGATTTTATTTATTTTTTTAAGCATTTAACTGCTAGATGTTTAAATCTAAAGAAAAGTTTACTAGAAATAAAAAAGAAAAAGTATTCATTTGACATTGTGGGTTACCTACAATGCGAAGAAATGGCGCTGCCTTGCAGCTTAAGGCTAGGAAAATTTCGACGCGGCTAATAGGGCCGTGGTAGCATAATGGTCAGTGCATTCGCCCGGATAGCGAAGGATGCGGGTTCGAGTCCCGTCCGCTGCCTGGTCCGCGTGGATTTTTTTTCTAAAAAATATTATTCAAAATTTTATGTTATCATCTTGTCGGCGTAATTGATGTACATATCTCCACAAAACCGGGGACGGACAGACAGACGTCCATGACGAACTTGTCAGGACTACGGATAATTAGTTGCGATTTCGACTACGCGCTACAAGATCGTGGTCGCACTGTAGGTCGCGGCAAACTTCTTGCGCAAAACAAAACAAACAAACTTGCGCAGTAGACGTTTTTGTATGTGAAATATGCCTATGGGTACGGCCAGAGTGCACTCAGATTCAGATTCCGAAAACAAGCGCGAGAAATAAACAGTGTAGTCGAAGGGTACGGTCAGAGTGCACTCCTGATTCAGATTCTGATTCGAACTCAGAAAACAAGCGCGAGAAAAAGCAGGCAACCTGCTTAGACTACACTGTTTATTTCTCGCGCTTGTTTTCGGAATCTGAATCTGAATCTGAGTGCACTCTGGCCGTACCCATAGGCATATTTCACATACAAAAACGTCTACTGCGCAAGTTACCCTATGGTATTAAGTCCGCCGTTTGCTTATGTTTAGCAATGAAGTTTAAATAAATAAAAACGCTACTGCGCAGACTTCCTTGTCTGTGGTCGTTGTTCAAAAAAATTGCAGGACGTATATCAAACCTGCTCCAGATCCAGAGTGATCTTGGTCCCCAACTCAGATTTGCATTCATTATTCTGAGGTCCCATAGACAGATTGTCCCACTGCCCCGCCGAGGGAGTGACTAACTATCGGTTAATCTTTCCTTTACCTACCTACAAATTACGGGTAAATATATAAAATAGATGCATAATTAATATTGTAGTTGATCGCTGACTGCTCACACTGCTGGCGTGAACTCACTCCACTATTGTCGCTAAGCGATAAGAGCTATCATGGAGTTTTTATAAAATAAATAAATATTATAAATTTTTCCAACACTCACACCAATTAGCCTAGCCCCAAAGTAAGCAATGTAAGGATTGTGTTATGGGCATGGGATGCTAGGGTAACGGATAGAATACATATACTGTATATTTATATAGTACTACTGGACTGCACTGGCGTACAAATGCTCGTATTCATCACACAAACATCTACTCCCACCGGGATTCGAACCCGGGACCTCTCAAGTCGGTGACACCATGAAACCCGGCGTATAAACCACTCGGCCACGGAGGTCGTCATGTTATCAAAGATAATACTCACCAGGCCGTCAACACGTGCGTGTGCAATTTTGCTCAAACAGGACTGTCATCGCAAGCGTAGCGAGTAATCGCCTACTTACTACTTGCATACCCGCTTATAGTCCAGCGATAAAACTATCGGAACTACACAGTCGCTTGCTCGCCAGCTCCTTTCTAGTTTCTAGCTCTACACGCTTTTCGTTCATCGTAGGTAGGGTGGGATAAGTGCTATAAAGAACCAGGGAACTTAAAGCGAACTACTGACAGACATCCTTGCCGCAGGGCCAATCTAAGGCGCACGGCGGTCAGGGCAATATCGGATGGTCTCTACACACATACCTGCTATTTAGTGTTTGGGTATAAGTTGATCTAAACACGCGCTTTGATGATGGTCCCAGTATTATCAAAAAAACAAAAGATCGGTAGATAGGGCCTTGGCTCTTTCTATGGTGTTAGCGCAAAAAAGGAAATTCTGGGTGAAGAATTGGCAACAGAAAGAAATGCATTGTTAATAAATAATGTTTGTGTTTTTTTATCCCACACGTGGGGCCGGTCTTTATATACTTATATCACT